CCTCAGGTGCACGGAGACTACAACAACGATCATCCCCAGCCCGAGAGAGAGAGAGAGCAAGCGAGCCACCCCCAACAAAGCTTTGCATTAAGGAAAGTTTCCCCTCCCAAGGAAGCAGAGAGGGAAAAAGGCCCTCAGGTTCAACCTCATCCAAGAACGCCACCGAGCCTCATGGCAGGCCGGGCTTCTCTGGGAAAGCACCATCCCCTGAAGGAGGAACGTTTCAGTTGCAGAGCGGCAAGCGCGGTTATTCTGCAGACGCCAGGCCTCTGCGCAGAGAGGTTCGGCAGTGAAGCAATCCGGGCGGAGGAAAAAGCATGCTTTCTGCGCCGGCACCAGAAGCATCAGGGTGTGCTCTGAGGTCCAGGGTGGGCCTGCCCTGCGTTTGGGGCTGAATGCAAAGTGGGGAGCAGACGGGAGGAAAGCAGCCCCCTTTCCCCCCTTCTCGGCCCCTCCTCACCTCGATCCAGATTCTGCCTCTCTGCCTTCAGGCTAAATCCCGCCTCGAAGCGCAGCGCTCGGAAGCCAGCCCCGATCCAGGGAGCGAGGCTGCGCCAGCGGGCGACCTTCCGTAGACGTCGGGTCCTTGCCCGGCTTTCAATCCAGCTGGCGTGGGTTCCACCGGGGAATGCCACAGAGAAACGAGCCCAGCCTCTCTTGGTATAGCGCAGCAAGGAACAATCGTCCAGTACAATCGCTCTGTCAGTCCGACCGCAGGGGAGGTGGAGAGGCTCCCCCACCCTCACGGCGGCTTGAGCAATCTCCGGGCGCTTCAGCTGGCGAAGGCAAACCTTGGCCCATCAGCTGGAGAAGTTTCAATAGATTTGGGCGAGGCTCGAGGAGGGGAGGGAACAAACTTGGCCAGAACGCCAAGACTGGTCTCCTTGGCGTTTTGGCTCCAGAATCAATACCGAGCAACGCCACTTCCCTGGACGGAGACACTTGGTGTTGTTTTTTTTAGCTGGGGTGCAGCAGGCGAGACAGACTTTCCCGGCAGCAAGGGTGGCCCTGCAATTTACTAACAGCCCCACCCCGCCCTGCCCACCCTTTCACCCCA